TATGCAATGCTCACACAAGTAAGTGATACCTTTGTTAGCCTGGAAGTAGCTTTTGCTCCACAAGAACTTTCATTCTTGTTCTGACATGTGTCCAAGTTTCTGATGCCATAGCATTGCAGAATCTGAACTACATGAGGCAACAGAGGCTTCTGCTTCTAGCAAAGTCTCCCTTCACATGTACAAGTTTGCTGCTATCTTTTCGCCTTCAGCACCACAGCGCTCTACGGAACACCTTCATGATTCTTTTTTGTGTCTCAATCTTGCTTGCATTATTATCCAACAATCCGTAGGATAATAAATTTTTCTTCAGTCCCTTCACGTGTCGCACATCTCAAACAACTTTGATTGTTCCATCATACATCTTCAATTTGATGGTTCCCACGCCAACGATCTCTAAGGCATGATCATTGCAACTATACACAGATCCTCCTAAAACAGGTTCATAATGATGAAACCATTCTCTTCTTGGTCATGTGATATGTTGCTCCCGAATCAATGAGCCATATATCTATATATCTTTTTCTACCTTCCACGGTGGTTAACACTTCACAACATAGAGCATCTCCATCATCTGAAGTGTTTGCGGTATTGCTTTATGGATTGGAAATTTTATTTAGACTCCAACAATCCTTCTTCAAATGACCCTTCTTTGCACAGTTGTAACACTTTAAATTCTTCTTGCTCCTTGACTTCGATCTACCATTTTTGACTGCTACTTTGGCCACGTTCTGTTGATCTCCCTCTCGTCGTTGTCAATGCTTCTGCTTGTTGCAGATTTACTTGTCTGTCTTCCTTGTTCTTGGGCCGGTTTTCTTCTTGTAGAACAGTAGCTGCAACGTCATCGAAGACTAGACTGGTGACATTACTATTTGTCAAGTTGATGATGAGTTGATCATACGAATCTGGTAGACTTTGAAGTAGAAGTTCAGCACGTTCTTGTTCTCCTATTTTACAACTTAAGGATGTAAGCTGAGAAAATAAAGTGTTCAGTGTATTTAAGTGTTTCGTCACTGAAGTAGATTCTGACATACGGAGAGTGTACAATTTTCTCTTAAGAAAAATTTATTGTGCAGCGATGTGGCCTCGTACAATTTGGTGAGATGATCCCATATCTCCTTAGTTGTCTCTTCTCCTCGATGCTTGACAATACTTCATCTACTAATGCTATATGATAGTTTGCCATAGCATTCTCGTCCATCTCGTTCCATTGATGTCATCTGCGAAATCCACGGCCTTTCACTGATAGCTGTTAGACAACCGTATTCCTCAGGATAGCCTTCATCTTCAATTTCCACAATGAGAAATTTTCCCATTGAATTTTCAATATCAAATTTCGTTGACATACTTCTTTTACGGATAGCTCCCATTATTTCACTATCGTGAATAGTTCTCTGGAACCTCAAAGAATGGGTAATACCTTCTTATTTTCTTATGTTGGATGATCCACCTTTTGGTGGCAACCACAAAGATAATAAGCATATATTACACACTCAAATCTGACTCTGATACCAATTGTTGCGGAAGACGGCTATCAGATAGAGCAAAATCGCAACTGATAATTTGAGAAAATAAAAATGAAGATAAAAGAGACACAAAATTTACGTGGAAAACCCCTGAATAATATAGGGTAAAAATCACGGGCAACGGTAGAAGAATTTCACTATGAGAAATGGAATTACAACTTCTCTCATCGACCAAGGAGAAACAATGATAATTCTCTTGATAAAAAGGAGAAAACAACTCTCAAGAAACTCTCTAAATTCTCTCTAGTATTGGAAGAAAGCTAGAATGCTTTGGGATGGTTCTGAAGCCAAATGAGATAGTGTATTTATAACTAAATCTTAAGGACTTAATATTGTAAATACACTAAAGTTTAATGACTAAAGTTTGTAATTTGACCATATAAAAAATCAACAAAATTAGTTTTTAATAATTTTTTTTCAAAGCCACCAGCTGCTTAGTAGCCCATGTGGTTTGATTTTTCAACATTAACCGTTTGAAGATTCCTAGCATGAAATTTGGAAAAGAAAAAAAAAAGTGATGGGTGGATCCATAGCAAGCCGTTGGCGAGAACTAGGCGGCGAGAACAATTGGGAAGTTCTCCTTGAACCTCTACATCCTCATCTCCTCAGATATATCATTCATTACTGTCAAGGAGTGCAGCCATGAAAGATATGTTCAACGCAAAAGACCAGAGAACCTGAGCCTCGAAAGAAGAGTTTTCTCAAGGCTTGTCTTGTAAATGGAAACCCATACGAGTACGACGTGGATCGCTTCATTTATGCTGGCACAAGAGTTCGGTCCTCATGGTTCGGATATGTAGCAGTGGCCACCGATGAAGGAAAGCGTGCCCTCGGCCGGAGGGATATTTTGATCGCTTAGAGAGGAACCATGACAGCCTGGGAGTTGCTCAATGATTGCTTCATAAAACAAACGTGAAACATCCGATACAGAGACATTCCCCACCGCCAAGGAACACGGTGCTAAACTGCACGGGGCCTTCTACTCTCTTTATACTGGAAAAAGAACTCGACGCAAAACTAGAAGGTACGTACTTGTTTTCTACTAACCTGTTGTATAAGTAGATAGTAAAAACAATAACTTCATTTCCTTGCTACCCTGCTTTCTTCGGGTCCTGGACGCGGTAAAGGAACTTATTAACAAGTACGAAAATGAGGAAATAATCATAACTGTGACGGGCTTCAGCTTGGCTGCACCACTCGCAACGCTAACCGCAATGGGCATAGTTGCCAATGGATATAACAAGCCCACCACCGGCAACAAGCCGTTCATGGTCACTGCCTTCACGTACGGCGGTCCGCATATCGGAAAACGCTAATTTGAAAAGCCTACTTGGTAACTCGGCAAACACCTTCATCTTCTTCGTATAAAAAAAGATTTAGTTCCTAAACTTCCACGGAGTTCGAAAACCAGTTCAGAAATAAATTGATTGTTGACTCCTCGGTATCGAACAACTTGAAGGGAATCTTTTCTCCTTCGAGTATGAAGTCGATGGGATCCGTTTTCTATTATATGCTTTAATGGCATAGGCACTAAGCGCAAACGTACCCTGCGTAGTCGCATAGTCCCTCTAGATGATGAACTTAAACGTATCCGCGGAGATGAAGACGAAGATGAATCTCAACCAAATTCAGATGAAGATGAATCTAAAATTTCAGTGTAAAAGTTTGATAAATTTAATTATATTTTATAACAAGTTGATAAAATTTAATGATCATGTAGTGTTATAGATCCTTTTTTCAACGGATTATTAGAGATATTAAATCAATCATCAAGAGAAAAGTACACCATTTCACATCCTTTAAAGAACGATCAATGCCAATAAAAAATCTGGTCTACTAGCTACGTACTATTGGATTTCCCAATTTTCAAAAGGCTTACAAAGTAAATTGAGCCCTAAACTACATCTTAATTCTTATTTTGGTCCTTCAACTTTTTTTTAATCAAAGTGACCTTTAAGTTTCATTGTCTAGTCGTTTTTGACCCCATTAACTGACGTGTTAAATATGTGATATTTCTAATCAATTAATATACATGTGAAGGTTAATTGTGAATAAATGATTCAGGGGTAAACTTAGAAAAATTAAAAATATACATCAAACTAAGTTATGAATTCAAGAATGCTCTGATTTCTTATTAACCCGATTTTTACACCAAAAAATCGTTATTGTTTCATAAATTATCATTAGATTTTTATTAAATTTTTTATGAATATGATAAATTAAGATCTTTTTGGATGTTGGCACTTTAATCTCCAAATTTGATCATTTTAATTGTGGCTTACTTTTCTTTAAATGTCTTTCGAGAATTCGTATATATTAAAAACATCTCAAAGTCCAATTATTTAATTCAAATACAAAGAAGATGGTGAAGTCTTACATCCCAAATCATGTTTTTTATATGTTCCAACTACTCAATGTGTTTAAATATGGTTAAGACATGTTTGAGTCTTTTGAAACTCAACTTTATGCATTAGAATTGCAGGGCATCTACATAACCTCAAGGCATCAATACCATGCATTCTCAATCTCAGTTCTTGCAAATTAGTAAAAAATATCGATATTAAGTATAAAGTATCTATACATGCCTAGTTATTAGTACCTTCAGTTAGGTGTCGATACTTATTTATTTTCCAAAATTTTAGGTAGTATAATACACGTGAAGAGTATCAATAGTCTATTGATCATCAATTTTAACTCTTCTAAATTTTAAAATGTCAAACTTGTAAAACATCGATATTTAAGATAAGTACCGATGTTATGGTAAAATATTGATATCTTTTTCCTAGTATATACATAGGTCTATTTTCTTAATTTTTTACACCATACTAGTAAGGTATTGATACCCTTATCATGTAAATTTTCTGTAACCATCAATCGGGTAGGAGTGTACTCATTTACTGACTCGCGTACCATATTTTCATGATATACAGTAAGCAATAATATGAATTGAAGAGTATACAAAATTGTGACACAATATGTTGTTGTCAGACTATTTAAGTAAAAATTTTATTATGAGTTTTGAGCTAACAGTTAAATTTATAACTACTAATATGCAAATAATTTTAATGATTGTAATTGGATTTACATATGTTAAATTTTAATAATATTTTTATATAATATCACATGTTCTATATATTAAAAGTTTTATTTATTTTATTATATTGCCTCACTAAATAAAAAACTTAGTGTGTGATTGGTTCATACGTAGGTATTAAACTAACGAGCAAGGTAAAACGCACACCAGCGTCATTTTGAAAAAATCAAGTCTTACACCATAATAAGTAAGGAGGTCTTATTTTATTGTATTTGTAGTTATTGACATACATATTAATAAGTTTATAGTTGTTTTAATATTTATATCAGTTAATTGTTAAAAGAAATAAAATTTTACTAATTTTTAAATAATATTTTTTATAATTTATGTGACATATTTAACTCGTATACGGTACGAATATGAGTTAAGGGTGTTATACAAAACCTCTCAGAAAATTGCTTTTCAAGATCAAACAACATTTTCTTTCTCATGTTCTTCTTATGTTCTTATCCAACAACTCATTTTGATCCACGTAAACACCCAAAATCATATCCAAACTAATTTTTTTAGGATCAAAACACCTAAAACACCAAAATCTTCAACCTCTTTCTCATCCAACCCCAAAAATCATCAAGAATAAAACCTAAGCTAAACCAAAATCCAAAAGGATTTTCCCAACTTCACACAACCTAAACTACCAACCCCTAAACCAAAACCCAATCGCCACCATCTCCTTCGTCGGAATCCAACACCGACCGAACACTAGCCACCACTCGGCTATCAAATCCAACGCCAGCCGACCACCTAACCATCACCGACCCTAACGCGTTAGAACCAAGAAACAAGCAAAAAAAAGCTCACATTGAAACCGGAATCAACGACGAGCGGTGGTGGCGAAACTTCAAAGGTAAAAACCCATTATTTTCCAATACTTTACTTCGAAAATCCTTGGATTAATCTGGATGCTTGTTGTGTGATTAATGCTAATAATTGAAGCTCATTTTATATTAATGAAATTCGACTCTTAATCTAATCGTTCTCGCTAAAAAACAATTAGAACAGGCTTATATTCAAGAATGATCTTGAGCTATATTTTTCTTTTTTTCTTTTCCTTGATTTTTTGCATGCTCGAAACATGACCGGCGGCGATAAAGCGACGACTCGACGAGGAAGATGACTGGACATGCGCTGGTGACTCGTCGGTGAACTCTCGGGTCGGCTGTAGAGGGCGAAGCTTTCTTTGAAAGATGAAATCTTAACCATTGGATCTAATCTTGATCCAACGATTGAGATTGATCCTTGCTTTTTTACTTAGATGCATGATGTGGTTTGATGAGAGCCATTGAATCTAGTTTCTCATCCAAGGGCTCACATGAAATTGTGTTTCTTTCACATGGATTAAAGCAATAGTGATCTTTGGATGAAAGCTAATCAAGGGTGGAGATTAATTTGTGTTACTTCACAAAGATTGGTGATGTGATCACCTAAAAATTTGAACTACTATAAATGCCTCATCTAAAAAGTTGAACTAACATAAATGCTTCATCTTTAACTTTTCAAAACAACAATCCCCCAAGGCATCCAAAACCGGCGGCTGAAGCATGTATTTAGGCTAGTTTTTGTTGTTGTTGTTATATTTGTAAAAATATGGGCTATTATTTGGGCCTAAATAACTATGTAAATGGATTATTATCTAATGCAATGGACTATTATTTTTGAGTTTTTATTATTCAAAAAATAAAATAAAAATAGACTATTTATTCTAACAGGCAAATTATATAGTTTATACTATGTAATATAAACTATGCAATATACAACTATTTAATATATAATACAATATGTAATGCAATTATTTAATATGAAATTATACGATATGCAATGCAACTACTATTTAATATTTACTATTACATGCAAATTATTATTTAATATGTAACCACTTAATAAAAATTATATACACACTATATGCCAGCTATATTCTATATACACACTATATATTATACACATGCCCACACCCATGGGTGCTGACGGGGAAAACCAGAGAAAAAGAGAGATGGTAGCTCCGTAGCAAGTCGTTGGAGAGAACTAAGTGGAGAGAACAACTGGGATGGTCTCCTTCAACCTCTAGATCCCGTTCTCCGCTGCTGCATAATTCACTATGCTCAAGGAGCTGGAGCCGTGGCAGACCTCCTCAATAGTAAAACCCATGAACCAGACGCCTCCAAAGAAGAGTTCTTCTCCAAGGCTTGTCTTGTAAAAGGAAACCCATATAAGTACGATGTGACTCATTTTCTTTATGCTGGCTCCGACTATGTTGAGTCGTCATGGTTCGGATATGTAGCAGTGGCCACCGATGAAGGAAAGCATGCCCTCGGCCGGAGGGACATTTTGATCGCTTGGAGAGGAACCTCGACAACTTCCGAATGGCTCAATGATGCTCGGTTTATAATTCAAAGAAACGCTTCGGACCTGTTCGCCACTGCCAAAGAACATCATGCTACCGTACATAATGGCTTTCACTCTCTTTATACTGGAACAAGACCCGATTCTACTCATAGCAAAACCAGTGCCAGAGAGCAGGTACCTATATATATATATACTTGTTTTCACCACATATTTAATTTTACAAACCATTGATTTCTTGTTGCGTTGCGTTTTCCAGGTCCTGGACGCGGTGAAGGAACTTCTGAACAGGTACAAAGACGAGGAAACCAGCATAACCGTGACGGGGTTTAGCTTGGGTGCAGCGCTCGCAACGCTAACTGCAATGGACATTGTTGCTAATGGTTATAACAAGCCTTCCACCGGAAACCGAAACAAGTCGTCCATGGTCACCGCCTTCACGTACGGCGGTCCGCGTGTCGGAAACCCCGGTTTGGCACTTGTATTTGATACACTCGGCGATCAACTTCATCTTCTTCGTATGAAAAATGAAAGGGATTTCGTTCCTACTCTTCCACCGGGGATGTTCTCGTACGCTGAATTCGGAAACAAGTTGATTGTCAACACTCATGAGTCGAAGTTCTTAAAATGGAAAGGACCATTCGGCTTATACGCTGCTTTTCCCGACGAATACGAAGATGAGCTCAACGGCACAGGCTCTCTGATGAAGACGAAGATGGAAATGAACCTAAACGCAAACGCACCCGTAGAGCCATTGGCTCTTTCGATGAAGGCGAAGATGAATATGAACCTAAACGCAAGCATCTCCGTGGAGGTATTCCAGAGTACTATAGTTGTCACAATATGGATTTATATGCTCATGGAGTTGCGATCAAAGACATCGAGAAGAACACTCCGGCAGACAAACTAGACCATGATAGGACTCGTGAACAAATACTTAGACCGTGTGAAAAATGAGCACAAAATTCCTCCGAACTGGTGGGTCGGTGAGAACCTCAGAAGATGGTTCAGTTGGAGAATGGTCGCTGGATGGTTTACTGAATCTCGATGGCGTTGCTTGCCTTGGTTTACAAGGCATTTTATGATATATATTATAAAATAAGAACGCAGAGCTAGGGCTTGGTGTTTCCGATTAGGTTTACATTTTATGCATGCTATAATACTTGGTTTGCAATGGAATATAGGCCTTGGTTCTCGATTATAGTAATATCTATCCATAATTTTATTTAATTGATAATATATTTTGATTCTTAAAATTTTATAAATTTACATTTTTAACATAAAGTTTTATAATCTGTGCGTGTAATAGTGTTATTGGTTAGTTTTTTTCAACGGATTATTGGATATACTAAATCAATGATCATTAATGCCAATAAAAATCTAGTCTAGCGGCTAGTATTGTCTTTTTCCACTTTTCAAAAGGTTTAATAGATAAATTGACCCCTAAACTATATTCAATTCTCGTTTTGGATCTGTAAGTTATATTTTGTTAATAACCATTCTTAAAATTTCACTGCATAATCGTTTTTGTCCCCTTTGACATAACGGTGTTAAAAAATTGTGAGGTCTTTCTAGTTAATTAACGAGTTACTTGTGAAAGGTCAAATTAGGGAAGAGATATAAGTTAAGAGCTAGAATAAGAGAAAACTTAGAAATATATACATCAAACCCAGTTCTTTTATTTAGTTTTTTCTTTATATTTTAAAATTTTAATAATTTCTTAAGCTTTTATTTTATTTTTATGTCTAAAGATTGAATAAGTCTTCAAACTTTATATAAAAATCAATTATGTTCTTGAACTCAGTCAAAAATTAATTACTTTATTTTGTTATGTCATCATTCACACAAGGACTATCATGTCAATAATGTATACCATCATGCATGTTCTTCCCAATAGATTTGGAGGTCTTGTGCAACATTTTAAAATAAGACCCCTAAAATATTTTATAATAAGATAGAATTGTAAAATATCACAATATACTATATTACGATTGTTTCTTATAAAATAAAATAAAAATTCAAACATATGAAATTAAGAAAATATCACAAAACAACTCTATAATCATGTCATTATTTAAAAAGTGTTAACATTTGAATGCTCTTAAAAGCAAAATCAAGATATTTTTAAAAAATATGGGGCCTCCAAATTTTGAAATCCTATGATATATCACACTCTACATTTGTTTATGGACGGGCTGCCATCATATTAGCTCAATTAAATACCATGTTAATACTTTTCTCAAAAAAAATCTATCATGTTAATACGGTAAATGTTAAAAATGATTTTCATCGATCAAAGGGCAACTTAAATCCAATTACATGAACCTGAGAGTTGAATTGATGTAATTAAAAAGGAAGGATAATATTATGAATTTGAGAAAATTCCTTAAGCTTAAAATTTTAATTAGATCACAAATTATTTTGTCAAAACTACCATTAGTGACTGAATAAAGTGTTAAAAAATTAAATTATTTTGAGTTAGATGACTAATAGGATAGTTTTCCTAAACATTTAAGCGCAAAGAGAAAAGACGATCGAAGTCGTCCATTGGGAATATGCCTTTGAAAATGACACGTGGCGAGAATAAGAAGATCACACGGTCAAAGCACTCCCTCAAATTCAAAACACGCAGAGAAAGCGCGAAAACTGAAGCAAAGCAAAAAACAACAACGTACGGAACACTGAGATTCGTGCATTTCCCTTTTCTTTTTTTGAAAATTTAAATTTCATATTTCATCTGTTATTTACAATTTTCCAGTTTAATCAGCTTTGAAGCAGCCCCGTTTCGCTGATGTTCTGGTCTCTTGGGAGTAAGTTACTAAAAATTTCAAATTTCTGCTGCAGTAAAATGATGTTGTTTTCGCCCTTTCAGCTCTGAGTTTCCCGTATTTCGTTGTTAAGTGTAAGCTACTAAGCTGGGTTTCTTCTTTTGGAATTTATGAAGTTTTCTGTTTGTTTACCGAGAAAATCTAAGAAAATAACAGAAACGAAATGGAAAATTTGAAATCCGTGTCTTCCGGGTTTCAATTAGGCGATCGTCCTGTTTGTGATAGGGTTTCGGTTTTTTATTTAAAAAGGGTTTCATGTTTTCCCAGATTCACAAAGATTATAACTATTCTAATTAGAAAGGAATGGAAGATGGTGTTTAAGTTTCAGAGTTGTCCATTGTGTGATTTCTTACCGGGTAAATGAATAGAATCTTTTATTGGTAAGAAGAAATCTTATATTTTATTTCATTCTTTTTTCTTTTTGCAAATTCATGTTACAATCAATGGTGCTTCCTGTAAAACTCTTTAATCCTGTAAAAATAGGTGGATAGCTAGTAGCATGATGAAGGCACACACGCAAAAGAAAGCCAAAGGACCCTCCAAGATCACTTCACAACAGGTAGCTTTTGAGCTAAAGAGTAAGGTGAATTTGGCGCTGAACAAGTTAGGCGATAGAGATACATATCAAATTGGAGCTGTTGAACTTGAGAAAACAGCAGAATGTTTAACCCCGAATAAGATTTCCCCATTTTTGTCATGCATATTGGAGACTGATTCAGAGAAGAAGAGCGCGGTTAGAAAGGAGTCCGTCAGTTGATGGCTACGTTAGCTAGATTCCATCAGGGCCTAATTGTTCCCTATCTAACTAAGATGGTTGCTAGCATCCTTAAGAGGCTTAAGGATCCAGACTCGGTTGTGAGGGATACTTGCCATGAAACAATGGGTGTTTTGGCTTCAAAATTGAGTGATCACGAAGATGATAATAATGGCGTTTTTATTATGTTAGTGAAGCCACTTTTTGAAGCATTGGGTGAACAAAATAACTATGTGCAATCAGGCGCAGCTTTGTGCTTGGCAAGGGTCATTGACAATACCCATGATCCTCCAGCTTCAATTTTGCAAAGGATGTTGGCTCGCACTACAAAATTGCTGAAGAATCCACGCTTAATGGCGAAATCTTCAGTAATTGAATTAAACAGAAGCATTATCCAGGTCCGTTTTAGGTTGGATGTGTAACAAATGATTCATAAGTTATTGCTATTTCCATCCTTGGCGATTCATGGAGTGGGTTTTATCTGCTGCTCCTTCACTATCATTGTTTTCTGTTGATTGTTTTCAATATACCTTCTTAATTTATGGTAAAACTTGCATTTTAATGTTCATTCCAGGCAGGGGGTGCTACAACACAAAGTCTTCTGGCTGCAGCGATGGCTAGCATTCAAGAATCTCTTAAAAACAGTGACTGGACAACACGTAAAGCTGCTTCTATAGCATTGGGAGAGATTGCTTCAAGTGGTGCATCTTTTTTGGGATCTTTCAAGGCTTCCTGCATCCATTCCCTGGAGTCATGTCGTTTTGATAAGGTTATAATTTGTTCTGGATTTGTACTCTGGGGAATTTGCTTATAAATGGTTGTACCATATTATGAGGTTCTTGTCTCTTATAGGTCAAACCAGTTAGGGACACAGTCCTGCATGCCCTTCAATACTGGAGAAGTGTTCCTGGACCTGATATTTCTGAACCCTCCGAGGCTGGATCTTATGTAAAAGGTTTAGTAGCTGGTGTTCTTACTCTTATTTTGTACTGAATTGTTACCCTTTGAAATTTGTTTCGCATAACATGTTTAGTTTAGGTGGCATTTGGTTGTAATAGAACTGGTCTCATTAAATAGCCTCTATAGCCGAATTGGAAATCTAATTTTGACTGAATATGATACGGTGATATTTTGTTTACATTACTAGTCTGTTTCCTCTTCATATGCTCTTATTTGTTTATTTACACTTTCTGCAGAAAACTTCTGTGGAGGTGATTACAGTGATGTCACCAGTAACAATGACTCGGGTTGGAAAGATGTCTCGGGGAAGAAAGTTACTACAAAGTCAGCTATGAGAAGGATGCCTCTATCTGCCAGAAAGACATCTCAGAATTATGTTCAAGACCCTCAAAGTGGCAAAGATGATGATTGGAATATTGAAATTTCTGTTTCAGAGAAGCATAATGTTTCTTTACCAGATGTTCAGAATGAAGAATCTGAAGGGAGTACAGTTACCAAGACATTGGATAGAATTTTGCCCTACACTACAAGTACACAAGATATAGGATATGAGTTTGTCCCTGTGGATGGCAAACAAGAATGTTCTTCAGTGTCCAACCTTCTTAGTGATAACTCACGGCCTAATTTTGTAACTGGTTCTCATAACCATATTGCCGAGGGACAATGGCAGAATTCCATGGGACGAAAACAGCGGTATGCAGGTGATGAAATTAACAACGAGGAGGAAGATGGTGTGTGCTCTGGAAAAATTAGGGATTGTAGAAGTCATGATTCAGCAATCAATGAATCAAGTCCAGAAACCATCTCGTTATTTTGTTCACGGATTGAGAATAAAATTGTTGGCATTCAGAAACAACTTTTGGAGATTGACAGCAAGCAGTCCAACTTGATGGATCTTCTCAAGGTAAATCTCAATAGCTAAACGATATATTTGCGATACTCTATGCATTCTAAACCATTCTAAGCCATAGGATGACCTTCAGCGTTGATGGTTTATTCTTTGGCATAAAATGCTTTTCACATATATATCTCATCACCATAAAGGACCGATTTTGGTATATTTTCTAATTTTTAGGAATATAAAGTTGAAATGTGAAGATTCTGAGTTGTTCTATCATGTCGATTTTCTAATTTTCTCTCTTTTGTTTTATATTTATTGGTCAACTTCATTAAGTAACACCATGAGAGCACATTTGGTACATAGAGGAATCGGATATGATGATTTCTTATTTGATGTTCATTGTGTCTAGTGTTTCTTTAGAACTGAAAAGTTAGATTCCTTAGATTTTATATGAGTATATGATTACATATCCTTTGGAGAGGGAGATTTGACAATCCTAAATTTTTGTTATGCATGCGCCAAAAATAAGATGCTCTAAATTAAAGACGATCACTCATTTTTATGCTATACATGTCAGCTTTAGTATTTTAATAGAATAATCTGGAAGTTAGATTAGTTATTTATATGGATATGGTGGCAAAACCCTATGGAGAGGGAAACATGGATAAATATACGTGGATAGGATGCTGAAAATTAACATGAAAACATTTTTTTGTGCTTGCAACCGAAATAAGATAATAAAAAAAGATAATTTACCCATTGATCCTGTATCATTTTATTCTTCCGTCATTAATCCTAAGCACCACATGTAAACTGGTGCTATATCTTATTGTCTTGAAGTCCTGAGTTTTTTGATATTCTATTTCTACCTTTGAAAAAGTTTTCTTCCAGTAATAATTGCTTGACAGCCAGTATTAACCTTTTCTTTCTGATCATGAATTATATTTTCTTTTAGGCATTTTCAACTGGTATAATGGATAGCATGTCCTTACTACAGTCAAAGGTCTTAAGTTTAGAACATGTATTGGATCAAATGGTGCAAGACCTCCTGCAGAAAGGAAAGCATTCTAATTTAGCGAATTCCAGACTTGAGAAGCAGGGTGCTGGTGCTTCATTTTCCCGACTGCCTACTTGCACTCCAAGGCCTTCTGTAGATATTCGTAACAGACAATCTTCTTTGCTGTCAGTAAAGAATTCTGATGTTTGGGAGGAAAAAGCACTTTGTAGAAACAGGTCACCCAATTGCGCGAAACAGGGTATGGAGCTATGGACTAATCATACTGTAAGATTTTGTAGAAATTCTACAGGGAATGATGTGACTAAAAGCTCCGGGCTTGGGGCACAAGGCATTGGCCAGGTCAGAAAAAATGAAGCTGCCTCTACTTGTTCTTCTGTTCCAGCTATGAGTGGCAGACATGAGTATCCTGACTACAAAGATGGTCTATGGCAACATGTGAAAAGTCTTCTATGCCAAGGTGACTTGGACTCTGCATATGCAAAAGCTCTGTCTTCTGGTGATGAACTTGTCCTCGTTGAGCTTCTTGATAGAACTGGTCCCGTTCTAGAAAGTTTATCCCAAAAGAATGTCTACAATATTCTCAGTACTCTGGCATCGTACCTCCTGGAACAGAGATTTATGAACTGTGTTATTCCATGGTTGCAGCAGGCAAGTTTCAAGTCATACTTTTAGCGTATTATTCAGACTCCTGTTATACATGATTTCGTATCACAATTTAGGGGAGGGTAGATTTTTCTGTTTCTTCGAGATATCTATTAGAACCCAAAGATATTGCTTTTAGTATTGGTAACAATATTCATGCATGTACCTCGGTCAGTATTGCTGAGCACTCCTTCCCAGCATAACTTGCTTTTCCAGTTGCTTGCCCGAAGAATTGTTCACTCTGTATGTCTGTCCAAGGTTGAGTACTTGATGTACCATGGTTGCTTTCTATTTCTCTCCAAGTTCCATCATTTTACTTATTGTCCCTTCAATTGTTTCAATGGTTTTCCATGTACAGCTTCAAACTTTAATTTTATTCAAATTTCTTCTTGTGGCTTAATATAATACGTATTACCTAATAAAAGATGTCTCTTGATGTGTCAAACCAATTACAATGACCTGAGTTGCAATAAGAAATACTATCAATCATGGTTTTTAATAATTTTGAGAGTTCAAATCAACATACTTTAACCCTCTATGATCCTTGGTTTTTAGGTGGTTGATTTGAGTGCTATCCATGGACCAAGTCTCCTTGTTCCCTCTGCTAAAATAAGAAGGGAAATTTTATCTGCAATTCAGGAGGCCATGAACATGGAGTTTTCTAACCCTGCTGAAAGAAGATCGGTTACTCAACTGGCAGTAAGGTTCCACCGAGAATGGGGTAAGGAAGTTTGCTTGCATATGATTTCATTTGTCACCCTGGCTAGAGTAGAGAACGGGTTAAGGATCATGGAAAGGATTTGAGAGGACTAGTAGTTTTTGTAGGCTATATAATAAATAGGTAGATAGAATCACAAAGTTCATAACCGTGCTTGACCTTGAATTGTTTATCCTCTAGTAAACTTGAAATTTGTGTCCTTTAGAGTTCAAATACATCTCCAGAATTTTGTGACTTAACATTGTCATTTTCTATTTATCACAAGTCTGTTTTCACTTAGATTTTCTGACTGCATGTCAGTGTTTTGATGTTCAGTCAAGGTTATGCTAATAAATGTCAAAGTATGCTACTCCAATAAACGTTAAGGTTTCTAGTTCAGATTCCCCTTGTGAAAAATACATTTTTAATACTTAAACTTTAAACAAAAATTGAATTAAACAGAGTTAAATAGATTTAAATGGTCTTTATTGGATGGATTAGATCTTGGATAAATCTTTGATAACTATCAATCAGACCTGATGTTAGTTCTGGTACACCATCATCTCTTATACTAACTTCCCTTTAAGAATTACTCTTCTATCATTTGCACTCCCAATTGAACTAGTTCACCTTTTTTCTGCTTTTGTTTACAGGAAAATGCTCATAGTTATTTACTGGTTGAATGAAAATTTTCTGCATGGATTCGGACCATCGAAAGAACAGCACAGGCATAATACGTTTTATCCATTGTCCCGACTGTTTTTGCTGTATAGAGGTCCTATGAAGTACTCTATAATTCATCTGTTCAGGTATTTTCTGCTTTTCACTGCGGGATTGCATGCCAATTGTTTGAATTGTTAAATTTTCGTTATTTAGTATTAGTTTGTTAAAGATGCTTCACCAAGTTTGAAATGGCATAATGAGTTGGTATCTATTTGTCTCATTGCTAGTACATGAATATCTTTTTCCAAAAAGCTAAATTGCCCTTATTGAGGTAAGAATGATTACTAAACGAAAGAGTTTTGTGAGCTATGAGTTTAGTACAAGGTGGAGACGCTAGTTTATATGATATATAGCCAATCGGATTATGAACCCTAAATTTCTCTTGAAGGCCTCAACCTCCTATACCTTTTGCCGGACTAGGATTTCTCAAAAAATGGCCTGAAAGAATTTAATACATGGCCAAAGATTTGAACCATTCTCTTTCGATCTCCCAATCCGGCCATTGGATTGAGGCTAAACATGAACTGTTGCAGTAATTACAGATATCTTTAGCTATTAATTGAATGAAGTCCTGAAGATTTATGACTTTACATGGGATAGTAGACGTTACAATTATGAAAATGGAACAAGTAGTGAAGTCGAATCTTTGAACAGTCCCTAGTCAAATGTATTAGGGTAAAGCATTGATAATGTGCATGAACTAGTATATAAATGCTAAGCCATTTTGCTATTGAAAAGATAGACGAGCAAATTATAAAAGAACAAAAGATTCATTTATTTCTTGAATTTTATACGATAAGTTGAAACAAAATGTTCAGATGTCAAAATTTACAAGTGCAGCAGCCATGTTAAAATTTACACTTTGGCCACATTTCAACCTTATCTTCAGCTTTAGAACTCAAAGGCTCAAAAAGTTTAGGCTCTTGGGGAGGGTTTGCTTCGGCTTCTTTCATTTCCAGGTTGATTTCTTTGATTGCACCCGTCTTGTGAGTTTCAGTTCTCCTAGTATTTCTCTTTTTCATAGTAGTTTGAGGGGACTTGTTGGGAGAGTTGTCGCGGGTTACACTGTTGTGGCGAGCCCCTTGGCTCATCAAAGGTCGGCCTTTCATCTGAAATTTCTCGAGACATTCGACCACTTGGCTCATCAATGGTCGGCCTTTTGGGTTTTCGCTGAGGCAGAGGTAGGCCAGATGGGCAATCCTCATTGCAGCTCTAGGCGAGTACTGACCTTCCATCTTAGGGTCTAATATCTTTATAAGCTTCTTGTCATGGTTCAATAGTGGTCGAGCCCAATCGACCAGGTTCTGTTTTTGGCCAAACACCTTGTCCATTTACTCTTCTTCCAATAAGCATCTCCAGTAACACTACTCCAAATCCATAAACATCGCTCCTTGCTGTTAAATGGCCTGTTTATACTGCAACTTGGTTAGCCATTATCATTGAGTATCGACATAACTAAACATCATGTAACCACTATGTCAGTTTATGAAAGGATGTTACAAAAGTAGCGCATCACATACATCTTATATAATAATATTTGACGAGTATCTAAATCTGGACACGGTTTAATCCTCTCAGAAACATAATTTATGTTACTAACCAGTCAAAATATATTCAGGAGCAGCGTAACCGTGTGTCCCCATCACTCGTGTTGAAACATGGGTTTGGTCTCCCATTGCTCCATCCTTTGCGAGTCCAAAGTCTGACAACTTTGCATTGAAGTTCTACATGTTTACATGCATTTTTAGTCTAAAATCCGACAAATTTGGGTATAGGATTATATATCCTCTTAAGGATTCTCTAAACGGAACATTCCCGTGTCTAACGCTCACAATCAAGTCCGAGTGGAAACTAATGAAATTGAATAACAAAGGGAAAGATGAATAAACCTCATCGAGCAAGATGTTGGATGTCTTGAAGTCACGGTATATGACGGGTCTTTCAGCACCATGAAGGAAAGCAAGCCCTTTTGCCACATCTAGAGCGATCTTCATTCTTTTCGACCAAGTTAAACTACAATCAGCTCCTAACAACCAACAATGATAAATATGGTAACAAAATGCAAAATGCTTTCATTCTGAGTATAACGGAAAACAGATCTGTAATTGTCGTCGATTGGCCGTCAAAATCGCTTGAGATTGTGATTTTCATCCTATGGTTCGCAGGGTATAAAACATTGATTCACTGTCGATCGACTTTTGATCAATCATGATTTCACAGGGGTTTTGGTCGCCGGGGGGAGGTGAGGTCGGGTGGAGTTTCGTCGACGGCAAAGGGCAGCGGTCAGCGTGGGTTTAGGGGTCAAAATGAAGGTTTTCAAAGTTTTGGGGTTATTTCAAAATTTGTGTTTTTCTTTTTGAAAAATATATAATTTTATTTTTAAAATTTTATATAGAATTTTTAAAATTATCAGGTCGTGACAAGTTAGGGATGACCCATTTTGAGTAACAAAATGAAACGTTAGGCACCAAACTAGAATAAAATAAAAGTTAGACATTAAATTAAAAAAAAGGACATATGTAGGGTACCTTTTATATATTTAAGTCAAAAAGAAACTTGGAAAAAATGTAACCTGACATTCACACTCGAGTCGGAGAAACATGGGGAAAAAAAGGACTAGGTTCCTATATACGCAAATATATAGCACAAACAAAACAATTAACACCTCAAATAAAAAGAATTACTTTAAAAGATGCAAGGAGAATAATGCGAGATTTACCAGCCATTCTCTATCACCTTGGAATCAATTAGGATTAAGCTCTTTAACGGCAACTGCTGTGGATGGCATGGGCGGACCTTATAGTTGCCCTGAGTATTGTATGTAACTATTGCTCTTTATTATAAGAAAAAAGTAATATCCTATTTAAAATTAAAAAAAGAGATCATGCCCAAAAAACAAATCTTAAACTCATGAATCAAGCACCTATTTTCAGTTTTGTGAGAATTGGGATACGCTTTTTGTGTGACCCCTGAATTTTTATCCTGGGTCTGCTTCTGGTGGATGGGAAACCAGGCCTCACATTCCCATCTATGAGTCTTTCATGAACGACCCCAAAACCCCCTTCGCCAACGACATGGTCTGGCCGTAATTCCTTTGTAGCCAACCTTGTCTCCTCATAAGTGAGTATGCAAACGTTGCCGTATCCAGAATTCTGCCGTAGATCTTTGACATCCTTGATGGATGTCAAAGGAAAGACGGTTTTGGTTTCATTTGATCTCTGAATTCCTGAGTTTTTTTCTGTCGGAAATGCAGTGATATTAAGTACTCAGTTCAAAGTTGTTGATTAAAGAAATATTCTACAAGCTAAAGGCCGGTAGTCTATTAAATAAAAATATGAAAAGATTCAACTACGAGACTGTTACTATTGTATCCACGAGTGCTTAATAAGCCCTCACGAATATGGTAATGTCCGAAACATCGAAATTCGTCATCATTCAACTCTATACAATTTTTCAAACAATATGTTACACAAGGCTCGATCAGATTTCTAGGTTGTTTGAACTCTATTCAATCAATTCATTCTCATGTTTCCTTTAGTATTCAATCAATTCATTCTAATCATGAATATGGTCATGTAGGAAACATCGAGATTAATCCTCCTCTCGATCCTATTCGATTCTCGACAGATCGGAATTCAGTCTCAGAGTCGGTTCCACTAGTTCTAGATTATTCAAACTCTAATCAATCAATTAAATCTCATCATTCCTCTAGTTTTCAGCAAAAAAAAAAATCCGTAACATATCAAATTTCTCTACACTGCAACTCTCCATTGTAGCAAACGTTTTACAAATTCAGAATTTTCATCAAATTTAAGATCAATGTTAATAATCTAACAAAGTTTCAACATAGAAACAACCCAAAATGTCAAATTAGACCCAAAGAAACATTCAGAAAAAGGGAAATGAAATTTATTCAAACCTGGAGTCTTCTTGGGAGATTTGGAATGTTTATGTTGGCACGGCTTTTTTCCTTTGGTGCTACCACAAAGCCCCATTAATCCAAAAAACCCGGACTCTGAAAATCAATCTGAAATCGGATTTCACCTCCCCAAAGCTTGGATTACAGCGATATACATATGTATGTATATATTTATCACATTGTGTATATACATTATATATATGGGTTCTCTGGCGGGGAAGAGAAATATCGACAATGTATTGCGGATCGAATCGACGATAGGATTAACTGTTCTTTCCATGTTGTTTTTTGCATTTTTTTTCAGGGACGCTGCTGCCGCCATTAACGGGCAATGTGCCGTTCACTCGTTCCAATCTAAATTCGAAGCGCGGGATTTTGGATCAAACTTTATCCAATGTTTGTTTTTGGGGTTTTGGATCAAACTTCAATTTTAGGAAATTCATTTGATTAAGCACAATATTTTAATCAACACTGGATAAAGATTGTTTATAACAAACCCGGGAACAACATTCCCGCGCTTAATGCGTTCATATAAACTATGTTTAATGTTAAAAATTATTATGAGTAATGTTATATGATATAGTTATAATGCTCTTATTTTTAAATATGATTTGGGCAACAAATGTGCATGGAGTTGAAATCAAAGACATCAAGAAGAACCTTACGAGACGTAAATTAGATCATGATATAGCACTCGTACATAAATACTTAGATCGTGTAAAAAATGAGTATAGAATTCTTAGTGGGTTGGTCAGAACTGGAAAAAAATGATTCAATTGATGAACTGTCGTTAGATCATTCAAAACCAACAAGCGTTTTTATAAAACACCTTACTTTTGGTGTTTCAATTAGGGTATAGTACATATATTTGTCACTAAACTATGCTGCAATATCTTTTATGGTTATTAACATTTCAAAAATTATTAAAGTTTCGAAATTATCATAAAATGATATTTAAATTTTATCAAACTTACAAAATTATCATTAAACTTATCGAATTATCGTAAAATGATTTTTAAACTTATCAAAATTTTAATAGTATGGATAATTACAATGTAATATCTGTTCAGAACATACTTAATCAATTAACAATACACATACCGCAGACGTAGTTGCTTGAACCCAAAACTCCTAGAAAGAATAACATTTCCTTTTATTATTGAGACTACTTGATGGTTCATTTCTTGAGAGAGAGAGAGAGGGATAAAAATTAATCTTATGTCACAAATCATGTTCTTGATATGTTCCAACTACTTATATGTGGTTTAGATATGGTTAGAACACGTTTTGGGTTTTTTGAAACTCAATTTTATATATTAGAATTGCAAGATATCAACACACAGCCTCAATGTAACATGCATATAAAAAACAACTAAAGAAAGAAAGGGGGGGAAACAGAGAGAAAGAGTTATGGTTAGCTCCATGGCAAGTCGTTGGAGAGAACTAAGTGGAGAAAACAACTGGGATCGTCTCCTTCAACCTCTAGATCCCGATCTCCGCTGCTGCATAATTCATTATGCTCAAAGAGCTGGAGCCGTAGCAGACCTCCTCAATAGTAAAACCCATGAACCAGACGCCTCCAAAGAAGAGTTCTTCACCAAGGCTTGTCTTGTAAAGGAAACCCACATAAGTATGATGCTGGCTCCAACGATGTTGAGTCGTCATGGTTCGGATATGTAGAGTGGCCACCGATGAAGGAAAGCATGCCCTCGGCCGGAGGGATATTTTGATCGATTGGAGAGGAACCTCGACAGCTTCCGAATGGCTCAATGATGCTCGGTTTATAATACAAAGAAACGCTTCGGACCTGTTCGCCACTGCCAAGGAACATCATGCTACCGTACACCATGGTTTCACTCTCTTTATACTGGAACAAGACCCGATTCTACTCATAGCAAAACCAGTGCCAGAGAGCAGGTACATACTTGTTTCCCACCTCATTTTTATTTTTACAAACCATTGATTTCTTGTTGCGTTGCGTTCTCCAGGTCCTGGAGGCGGTGAAGGAGCTTGTGAACAGGTACAAAGATGAGGAAACAAGCATAACCGTGACGGTGTTTAGCTTGGGTGCAGCGCTCGCAACGCTAACCGCAATGGACATTGTTGCCAATGGATATAACAAGCCCACCACCGGCAACAAAAACAAGCCGATCATGGTCATCGCCTTCACGTATGGCGGTCCACGTGTCGGAAACCGCGGTTTCGCACGCTTATTTGATACACTCGGTGATCAACTTCATCTTCTTCGTATGAAAAATGAAAGGGATTTCGTTCCTACTCTTCCACCAGGGATGTTCTCGTACGCCGAATTCGGAAATAAGTTGATTGTCAACAGTCATGAGTCGAAGTTCTTAAAGTGGAAGGGACCGTTTGGCTTATACGCTGCTTTCCCCGATGAATACGAAGATGAACTCAACGGCATAGGCTCTCTCGATGAAGACGAAGATGGATATGAACCTAAACGCAAACGCACCCGTAGAGGCATTGGCTCTTTCGATGAAGGTGAAGATGAATATGAACCTAAACGCAAGCGTCTCCGTGGAGGTATTTCAGAGTATTATAGCTGTCACAACATGGACTTATATGCGCATGGAGTTGCGATCAAAGACGTGGAGAAGAACACTCCGGCTGAAAAATTGGATCATGATATAGGACTCGTGAACAAATACTTGGACCGTGTGAAAAATGAGTACAAAATTCCTCCGAATTGGTGGTTCGATGAGAACCGCAAGAAAATGGTTCAGTTGGAGAACGGCCGCTGGATGGTTGTTTGAATGTTGATGGCGTTGCTTGGCTTGGTTTACAAGGCAGTTTATAATATATATATATATTATGATATAAATAAGAGCATTTAGCTAGGGTTTGGTGTTGACCAAGCTGAGACATATATGGTGTACCTGAGAGATTCAGCTACATCTTCGTCTTGCATGGGATGCAATAAAGCACTTCATATATGGACTTCTCAATTATGTTTACATTTATGCATGCTGTAAACCTTGGTATGCAATGTGATGAAAGGAACTTATTTTATGACAAATTTATGAAAATTTAAGGTAAAATATGATTTTTTTGTAATTATCTATATTTAATTTATAGCATTAATACTCGGTTGTCCCAAAAAGTAAAGGTTATTAACCTATAAGCATACAGGAGCAAGGTTTAGTCCCCCTGCGTGAATTTCTAACTCCTTTTTACAGGCTTTATGGAGATAAAACTTTGATTTTTTTAATTATTTTTTAAAGTCTATCAATTTTTTAAAAATAAATTAAATTTCAATTCTCTATTTTTATAATTTAATTATTATTTAAGATCCATTCATTTCAAAATTAAATAACTTAACTGTCTTTGTTTGCAACTAAGTAATTAGGATTTTTTTTTTCAATAAGCAAAAAGGACATGAAAACTTCATATTGGTCGTATCACTGGATGATGATCCACACCCAACTATCCCAACTGGAACAGTAATGGGTAAAGACGATGATTGAAAATGATATATCATAGGAACTTTTCCATGATATTGACAATGATGGCGACTCTCTCTGGGTTAAGAAAAACACATTCAGCTTTTAAACCCATGCAGTTGAAAGCAAGTTAGCTTTTTCCCATGATTTGGATTTAAAGTATTGGTTGCAACAACACATGGTATTATATTGAGCAAAACAAACGAGGGAGAGTATAACCTACTTAATTCGAAAATTTAATTTTTTTACTCGACTCAATTTAAAAAATTTCGATTTGAATTAACTTCTAGTTGTAATTTCATAGACTCGACTCGAAAAAATTTCAAGTTCAAATCGATTTATAAAATACAACTCGAAATTTTTAGTAATTAGTAGATTGATTTTCAAGTTTGAGTCAAGTCCCTTGACTCTGTCTAATATATGTATTATTACATGTGAAAAAATATGAAGAAATATATATGTATTGTTTATGATTATAAAAAATTATTTAAATTAAAATCAAACAATATCATAATATTATAAATATTTGGAATTAAATTTATACAAAAACTCGACTCAACTCAACTTGACTCGAAAAAATTTTAAGTTAAGTTCGAGTTATAAAATAAGACTCATTAATTCGAATAACTCAATTTTTTTACTCGACTCGATTGAACGCTAACTCCTATATTTAGTAATAAGTTCTTTTTTGTAATTATTTTTAGGGTAAACTACAAGTTTAATACCTAAACTATTACTTTTATTTCATTTTGACACTAATTTTTTTTAAATCATACCTAATGTTTAGTTTAAGTTTTATTTTGATACCCCACAGTTAAAAACTTAATGAAATTGTTGACGTAGCATTTTTTTTATTTTTTTAAATGATGACGCAATATTACCTTATGGTGGCACATCAACATCGTTGTTAAAATTTTAACGGCAAAATACCAAAATAAAATCTAAACTAAACGTTAAGTGTGATCTTGAAAAATTTATTTATTAAAATGAAACAAAAGTAGTAGTTTAAGTACTAAATGTATACATACATACATATAGAGATATATACAAACACTAAATCTTAAAGAACAAACTTTCTTGTTCACCACGAATCTTTATTTTTCTTCCAATTTTAATTCTTCACCACAGATATTACGAGACTCCCGAAAAAGGGACATTGGTGGAATGGTGGTGTTTTTTAAATTCACTTTTAGTAGTATATATTAAAATTTTATCAAAATTAAAATATCTTTTGTCAATACATCACATGATGAAAATATCATAAGGCTGTGTAAGACTTAGATTTATTTTGATCTAAATTCAAAAATATTCCAATAATTTTTTTCTAATACAATATTAAATCGTATAAACACGCCCGAACTCTTATACTCCTGAATCAATTATTAATTTAATTGTACGCTATTGTTACGGGGCTAGACTGCTGCTAGCAAGCTCGTGCGGCCTTAGTCGTTTTCGAGGTCGAAACTCGGCTAAGTAACTCAAACCTTCACTAAGCGAGAATGCTTAGAACGTTGCAAAAACAAAGGAAATGGGAAAAATAGAGAGATGGGCGCTCAAATGGAGAAGAGAGAGTTTAGAGTGAATGCTAACTTGTATTCCTCAATCTGAAGTGAGTAAATGAGGTGGGGTTGAGCCTCCTTTTATAGTTGGAGCCCCTCTACAATCAACGGTTAAGATTAAATTACATCAACGGTCAGAAAAGAGCTCTA